TGGCTGTTACTTACGCGAGATTTGAACGGGACTTATATAGGCGTCGGATCAGATGTAGGTAGGGCGGAATTAAAAAAAATCAAAATCAAAGTAAAATAATAAAATAAAAGGGCATTAATAACAAAAGTAATAAAAATAAAATTAAAATAAGTTTACAGCCAAAATAATTAAAGCCCGTACACTACATCAGATTTTAATCAGATTGTTAAAAGACTAGTCTAAGATCTATCGAAACAAAGGACATTGTTGGTCAAATTGTGCAAGAAAACAACATACGGAAAAGGCTTCACATCATGAGTACGTTCAAACACACTCGACAGTGATAAAGAGTTCAACTGTGATCCAACAAACTCTAATAATTTTAACCTGATGTAATTAATTTTGCAATTTTATTTTCCCAAAAAAGACGTAATGAGGTAATATTCCCCCCAATCTGTCACATTCAATCCTCTGCATTCCAAGTGGGACTTAAGGCTTCACCCTACCCTCTTGTGCTTTTTACCAATATTGATTCATGAATGAACAGCACTTGCAGTAAGCTGGTGAGATCCCTGACCATGTGGCAATGACAAGCCTTTCATTATTTGTCATTAATACTTTCAGCAAGAGGAATTGAAGAAAACCAAAAAAGAATTAGATGAATTGCAACGACAGGAAGATGAGTATAGGAAGAAAGAAGAAGAACTGGCAAAGAAAGAAAGGGTATTTTAAATTGTATTTTTCTTTCTGTTATCTGAAAAAAACATGTACACATTGCTATACAATGAATTTTAACTTAAAAATCATAGCTAAAACATAGGAGTGAGCAAGTCAAATGTGTTGTCATATTATTTCTAGTTAATACTTGATAGATAGCGTGCTTGTGATTATTTGGTCATGTCCAGAAAGCAAAGATAGATAAAGAAAATTAAGATGCAATCATTTAGCCTATATTATTGTGAAACTCCTGTCCAATTTACAGGTCATTTGCATGACGGAAAACTGTTAAAAAATGATAATTACAAAAACACAATAGCAAAATTGGCATCGTACCTGTATTCCTATAGATTTGTGGCATATATCATATTCACCTATATCTAAGCTTTCAAATGACATATACCGGGGTAGGTTAGCATAGGAGCCCAACATTCAGAGAATGTCTCAATTACAAATAAATATTTCCCCTGTTGCTACTAAAATTTTTATAATCCTTGGGGGCAGACTTCCGGGCATTTTCAACACCTGGCAACCATCACGGTGAAAACAGAAGCCGAAAAACTTTCAGAAAACGGTACTTTGGGATAGTTGTTGAGACTCCCCTGAACAGTGTAACAAGATTACCTCTACGTGTGCAACATATATAGATTTGGTTGCTCAAGATTACTTCAAAGTTGAGTTTGTGTTGCTTCCTCGACTTTAGCCTTTTTCATCGGCTGTTTGAACGGCATTCCACAGCAGCTTGCGCAGAGCCCATTGAAATACATTAGCAATATAGAACATTCTGTGACGTAGCTCTGCCCCAAGGATAATAGTTCTTGGTTTCTAAAAAAATAAAATGTGTGTGACATTAGAATGTGTCGTGCCCTACATTGTGGGAAAAATTGCCATACATTTGCTTCAAACAAAACCTCAAAAGATTTAAAGTAAAACTGTAATTGATTTTATTTTTCATCAACTACATTACAGTACTGTACAAGCATTAATTATTCACTGGTATTTAATTTTACTATTTCGCTGATAAGTAAAATCCACTAAATTGAATCTATGTAAAATAACAATAAAACAGTGAATATCCTCAAAACATCAAAATAGTGAAATTAAATGTCAGTGAAAATAAATGATTTTACAGTATCCTCGGGGGCGGAGCTACGTCACAGACGTTCCACGTTGCTAAGACGCGCACCACTGTACCACGTGATTCTATGGGCTTTATGCGCGCTACTGTGGAACGCCGGTGGAGCCGGTGAAAACTCGAGAAAACAACACAAACTCAACTTTGAAGTAATCCTGAACAACCAAATTTATATATGTTACACACGTAGGGTTAGTCTTGTTACACTGTTCAGGGGAGTCTCAACAAACATCCCAAAGTACCGTTTTCTGCGAGTTTTTGGTCTTTGTTTTCACTGCGAGGGTTGCCAGGCGGTAGAAATTGCCCGGATGTCCGCCCTCGAGGATACAGTATGGAAGACATAACCTCATAGCTGTTGAGTGGTTACAAAATAAAATGTACTTTTACAAGTTGAAAAGTCACATGATCGTTTTTGAATAGTTATAACATACAGCATGTAATAATAGACATACCACCAAATAAAATAAATTTCTAATAAACCAGCCGTGCTGGTCCCACATATTGAAAAACTGAAAAGTGGACACTAGAGGGCGCTCACATGTTTCTGGTTGCATGGTGGGCAAATTTTTCACATATTATGAAATGGGCCCATATTTGCAGCTGTGTGAACCACAACATCATAGCAATATTTAAATAAAAGTTATTAAAATCAATACCTACTTGTTCTATTTTGTTACATGAAACAAGATTTATTACTGTAGAATACTTTATTTTCGCTGGAATTAATTTTCGCTGAAAAGGCTTTTTGGGCGTTTTGTATGGAATTTATTTTCACTGATTTTTGATTAATTAATGATTAATTAATTATTGATTGATTAATGATTGATTTTTGAGTTTAATGTGAAATATTGGAAAAAAAGTATATTCGCTGGATTTTATTTTCACGAAATCATTCCTTCAGCGAAAATAGCGAAAATAAAGTATTCTACAGTATAATAAATTATTATGGCTGAGCTTTCACGTCTGGGAATCCGTGTTTTCACCAGAAAATTTAAACCTCTAATAGTAAAAAATTATTGACTTAATTATAATAATTAACATATTCTTTAAAATGCTCAAAAGCGCAATTATTCACTGACAAAACTTGTACAAATACATGTCTTCGTGAATTTAATTTAAAAAGTCAGCAAAGACTGAGTGGAAATAAACCACTGTGGCTGTCTGGATAATGATTGTGTCAGTGTCAGACCAGTGTGGTGGTAAAACAAAGCACTGTGGCAGTACCACCACAATGTCTGTATCCTGGGGAGAACACTGATAGAAGTACGTGTATGCTTGATACTAATTTCCGATGAATGCATGATGAAATATTGTTGAACTCTTGTATATTTTGTTGTAGTTAACACCATGGAATGTTGACACCCTGAGTCATGATGCTTGGCAGAAGACGATAATAAATCCCTATCAAAAAAAAGAAGAAGACATGACAGAAGAAGAACTTGACCAAAAACATGTGAGTGTATATTATAGTATACCGTGTATTAGTTTATCACCAATCTGATTAAAATCTGACATGATTGTTGTACATTGCCTTTACCTATGCACATCACACTCAGATGTTGTTGGAACACCAACCAATCAGAACTAGTGTTGCAGATCTTGCTGGCATAGCAACCAATCAGAGCTAGTGTTACAGGGTTTTTTTACCCATGCAATTCACTCTAAGATCTTGCAGCAAATAATCAGAACTAATTATTGCAGGTCATTATTTAAGGAAGGCATACTCTAATTGGAAGGTAAACCAGTCCTAGTATAATTGCTTTAACATGATGGTGAGGAGGCATTGAAGGAAACTGTCGGGAGTTTGCCTTCCCCCATACTATTCCCATATGCCAATGTATAATATTTTAATCAGATGTTTGAGTGACCATAGTGACCGCCTCTGGGGAGTAACAAGAAATTTGAAGTAAACTATACATCAAAAGGCCAGCTGTTTCAAAGTGATCAATGACCAATGTTTTTTTATCCTCTATTACCTTCAAATATGTACTGTAAAATACTTTATTTTAGCTGGAATTAATTTTGGCTGAAAATATAATTTGGGTGTTATCTATGGAATTTTTTTCACTGATTTTTGACAACTTGCTTGTAAAATATGGGAAAAAAGGTATAATCCCTGGATATTATTCTTAATGAATCATTCCTTCAGCAAAAATTAATTCCAAGCGAAAATAAAGTATTTTACTGTATTTGTTTTACAAATTTCTTCGGAGAAACTGAGCTAAGAAACTATTCTTTCAGTGTACAAATTCAACATCCCCACTTACACCGGAACTAAAACCCAATGAAAATGATCAAAATAGTTAAATATACACTACAGAAAAAATTTCATACATGTATTTACCATCTTCATAACTTCTTGTGATCTTTTTGCTTGACACTCTTGGTATGTATTTTGACTCTGCAGAAATCTTTCATGGAAGTCAATGAAGCACACATCAAGAAATTTGGTATGATGAGACGATGGGACGACAGTATGACATTTTTATTGGAGCATCCTATCTTAGCTTGTGAAGAGACAGCAAATTATCTGGCTATTTGGTGTATAGACTTAGAAGTTGAAGAGGTATGTTCACCTGTTTATAGCTGTATTATCGGATATCATTTGTTTGAAGCATTTGACTAACAATAGTATGATAATGTGCTGCATACCAAATGCAACAATTCGGTACTATAAATTGCATTATTTTAACTCAGAATTAATTTTCGCTGTAGGACTGATTCACTGAAAATAAAATATATACCTTTTTTCAACTCATCAAAAATCAGTGAAAATAAATTCCTTACGAAACACCTAAAAGGTTTTTCCAGTGAAATTTAATTCCAGCTAAAATAAAGTATTTCACAGTATTTGCTAGAAATCTGGGTTAAAAAATGTTGGCAAACTTTGCTTAGTTATTATGTAGATTCGGCTGTGATCAAATTTTCAGCAGCTTAGAGAGTCACCAATAGTAAATATAATGTGAAACTGACGTCTCTCTAATGCGGCCTACTTAATTTTTGGGAAACAATTGGGAAAATCAAGCAACAGTAAACATGTTTTATATTGTGAATGTGTTGCCTAGCATACTAGTCAGCAGCTTACCTTGCAACGTTGCTGTTTTGGTGTTTCAAACAATATGGTGGTTTCAGTAACAAAATTGCAAAATTGTCCTGTAATAACCTCTATAATAACATTCACTATGTATGGCAATACTTGTTTGCAGGATAAATACAGTATAGCCATGCCATCATGAAAGACGGCCGTGCTCAATTCCTTATCACCATGCTTGCTTTCTATACCTTTACCACGGTATTGCCCACAGCGATTGTTCCATGAGATTCGTCCTCACTGTTTTTTTATTCATAACTATTGTTAATTTTGCATTTGATAGAAACACGGACTAATGGCCCAAGTTGCTCATCAAACAATTGTCATGCAGTACATACTGGAACTGGCAAAAACTATGAAGGAAGATCCAAGGGCTTGTATTAGACCATTCTTTACAAAGTAAGTTTTGGAGTAATTGAAAAAAAAGGTGATATACTAGTAGTTGTTTTATTTACCAGGTGTAAAATTACTTCTGATTCCATTGCTTTGTTTTGTAGTGCATTCACAGTCGGTGGTTGCCATGGCATCTTTTGTCTTGGGATTAGAGAATTATTTGAATGCACTCTACTTCTGTCATTGGTCAATGTGTTTTTAAACATTCTAAAATTTTATGAAAACCCAGAAAGTTTGGTGAACTTGTGAAGTGTGTTTTGATCAGTAGAACAATACCCAAAATTCCCTAAGCCACTCTATATGCATCTGTATCTTTTCCAATGAAAATTCTAAAAATTCCAAAAAGTGTAACATACCGTAAATTTGTTTAAAATCAGGTTTGGTGAATACAACTACCTGGTTCTATAACTAGAAATTATTTGCACTGTTTTATTTTTTTGCAGTTAAACTGCAGAAATAATGTGTAAATATTTTTGTTTGCCTGTTATATTTGTCTGCAGTCGATTGGGGAAGGGGGTTATTTCACATCACTACACCACTCACTATATGTAATTTATGTCAGCCATTGTTGTAAAATAAAACCATGATGATTCACTTCTTATAATAGGTATGCAAATACCATGGAAAGGTTGTTCCGCGAAAACTGAACTGTTCCAAAGTGCTACATTTGGTGAAAATATTTTATAAATACAATTTCTAGTTCTACAGTATAATTCATATAGATATCTAGGACCTAAACTGTAAACATGCATATCTGAAAGGCCAAATTAAATACTTAAATATTTTACACACATTCCCTCATGGCAGAGTGTGTTCCACATGCTTTCAAGTGAGGGGAAACTATTGAACATAAAACTACTGATATTCCAAACAGCCATCTGAATTATATGATTTGTTGTTATGAGTTTTCCACGTATTGAATGAACCTTGCGCAGTGTACATTCATCTGAATAGCCAGTGTATTATTTTACATGTGTTGTATATACCAGAGAGGCAGAGATGCTGAATTGATCAAGTTACGAACTTCAAGTTACAAAAAGTTAACTGAGCTTTCTGCATATCATTATGGGCAACATTCAACATGTTGCCCGTAACTGTAAATTTTGAGTTGCTAAATGTGGACATTCACCAAAAACAAAAAAATTATGTTGCCTATAACTTGAAAATCTATAAACTGCTAAATTGAACATCTAGTTACAATTTGGGTGTGGTTTTGCAGAAGTAGGTGTAGCTTCTAAAATATGGGCGTACAGTATAATTGTACTTGATGTTATTATATAAAACATAATGTTATGTGCATGATGACCATCATCTATTCCATGTTTTTCATTGACAAATAATAATATGCCAGCCAACCATCTGACTTTCAATACCATTCAAGGCCATTTCAATATTTCTAAACTTTCTTGATATTTACAGGATTAAAAAAGCTGATAAAGTCTATCAAGACTGTTTCAACGATGAACTTGAATCATTTAAAGAACGAGTTAAGGGCCGTGCGAAGGCAAGATATGATGCAGCACTTAAAAAAGCAGAAGAGGCGAGTATATTTTCTCAAAAACCTGCATACGTTGTTTCAGTATCATTTCATGCAAAAATCATGCCATATTACCACTGTTAATATTATTAGCAAAATCATGCTTTATTGGGCATATTTTCTGAGGGGAAAAACAAAAGAAGTTGGCACACAGTCTTCAGAGGGCGCCCCCACTGTAAGTGAAGCCTAGTTAGTCCAGCATTCCTCTGATTTTTCCAATCCAAGTGAACCCCTGATTTTCTCAAACATTTGTATTCATTATTTGGTATAATATACACATTTAAATAATCTCCAGTGTCAATGTGGAAATGTTTCAAGCCAAGGATAGATAAAGGTATACTGGTTTGCAACATTCATACAAAATGCAATAAAGATCATGCTGTCTCCAATCTAAGTGGTTCTAACCATTGTCATGAATACTAATGAGAACCTGGAGGAAGAATTTATTCAGGAAACAAATACACCCACTAACAGTACATACACAAAAGTGACCGTACACAATGTTGAAGACATTTGACAACTTGCAATTTTTGTTAAGACTTTTTTCACTTGTATTAGCAATAGTATTTCAATAAAGGGGTTTTATCAGTATATAATATTATTATACATCTGTCACTGTAACACCATAAGTTAAAGCGTGCGCAATTCTGCAGTATTTCACAGGTGTTTTCATCCTACCATATTAGGGAATGCGAATTCCTAATATGGAATGATTAAGCGCATAAGCAACCTCTAATTATAAAAAACAAACATGGCTGCCCCCAGGGTTGACCAGACCCCACACAGAGAAGTTCGCTAAATCTGTTCTAAACATTTTGGATTTTGGCATTCCCATGATGTATTCCTGTGAGGAATAATAAGGTGGAATGCATTGCAGGCAGAGTGTAGTATTATTCAACAAATAGTGTAATAAAGTAAATATAATTTTAGGTACCCGGTATTTTAAATTATGACAATCTAAATTTAAACCGTTTCATTTTACTGTTCAAAAAGTATATTTATAGCTGTAGAAGAAATGCTACAATCCCTTCTGCAAATGCGTTTAAATCACTAGTCCGTGAAAATAGAAAAATAGAGTTGGAAATAGCCCTATATAAAGGAAAGGAACAATATCACTATCGTAAATGGGAGTTCTTAAATAATTGGTTGGCTTAATACAAGTAAATTAATCTTGTTTTTGTTTTTGTCTCACCACCGTATACCAGACAGCATTTGTCATGTACATGTTTTTTTTTCCAGGGGGATTTTGTCATCTGCTCTGTATCTTTTTCTTTATTGTACTGTCTTTGTGCATACTTTGCAGTATCCTCATACTAACCTCATATTATTGTCATGTGATCTGTCATCTTTATACAGGAATTAGCCAAAGAACGTGAAGCTCGACTCGGACCCGGAGGACTAGACCCTGTTGAGGTGTTTGAAAGTTTACCTGAAGTAAGTATTACCTGGATTTTAATTTTTCTATTTTTGCTGATACCATACTTGACCAGGGCACTCAACTCCAAAAATCGTGGAGATGGGCAACTGCTGTTGGTTTTCAAAATTGGCTAAAATGATACCCATCTTTGTGATATTTTCTCAAAATAAACTTTCAGCTGTCATTATTATGATTTATTGTCATTACATAGACTTGCACAGTCTAGGCAATTTATTTCTTTTTAAATATTTAAAATTAAATACTAGTAAAAAAAAAGCGAAATCTCCCGTGACCGCGAAATCACCCAGACTGGAGGTTTTTTGACGCGCCCTCTGTGGTGAAAGCAGGAACTAGTGTGTTTTCATACTAGTTTTTATGTTAATGAGCAGAATGACAGGCAAGAATGTTATCCAATCAGAGTAATTTGACCTTTAAACTATATCTAGTTAAACTTTGTACCTGAAGACTTCACTTTTCTTCAAGTTTCTCGATCGTCAATCATAACAAAAGAATTACTATTTATAACGTTCCGTACAAATTATTCTAACGGAGAGAGGTAGCCTTGCGTGTAGCCTTATCTTGCCTGGGTTACAGTCAAACGCAATCAGCACAGAAAACAATAGTTGATGTCTGTGGTGGTTTCGCATTCACCCCACCTTTCGCAAAACTATTTTTTCAAATTTTTTTTTTATTATTATTATTATCATTTAACTGAAAAAAATTCACCACAGCTGGGCCAGTCTATCATTACATCATGCGAGTATTTGTTGTTACCAGGTCACAACTAATTGTTGCTACACATTCACTGACTCATTCACTTAATTGCAGTGCTTACAGAAATGTTTTGAATCCAAAGATATTGAGTTGTTACAGAAGACCCTACAAGAGATGGAAGTCAAAGAGGCACAGTACCATATGAAGCGTTGTGTGGACTCTGGTATGTGGGTACCAGATGCTACGACTGCACATTTACTAGATGATACCGCAACGGAAGAACCAGTCTATGAAACTCCGGATAAATAGTAACCTTGATGATGCTTTTTTTTTTACGTAACATAGTTAGTTTCTATTGATATTAGTGTAGCATTATTGTTTTATCATCTGAAGGGGCTCAGTGCGACAGGCTTTTTAGCAAGCGACTTGTCTCTGGGATAGGTAATACATTAAATTAGACAGACATTTCATGTAATTTACAAATTAGTGGTAAATATTCATACAAAATATAAACCACAAGTCTATGGAACAGCTTTTCCAAATGCGTCTTTCATTTCAGTATCGTTTTTAGACGGTTACGTTTCATTTTCTCTGGTTATAATCTGGTCAGGTGGTCGAAAATTATATACATGCTGTACATACCAACTGTTATTGTTTCACAATTTGTATGATTTTTTGATTCAAAAGCCACCAGAACTTATGTCCATTGAACTGGTTTTCTTGACTCGTACAAATTTATAATAGCATACTGTTGTATGTCACCTTGAAAGCACAAATAAGTGGATGTGATTGATTTGTTGAAAAATAAAATAATATTGTACATAGTAGCAGATTAACATCTAGTGACACTCGTTTTGGCTGTTCTACTTAATAGGGAAGGTCATACTGTGGTGCAAGAGAATCTGCAGAAATACCATATTTACTCCTACCTTTAATATGACTTATCTCAAATATGACTAATCTTGTAATGGCGTAACTCACCTTTGTAATTGTGAGTAATTGTTAGTGGAGAAAATACAACAGTGAAATTGTCAATAACCCCCTCCCCCCTCTCAATGTGGCTTCTCGTAAAAATCAGATCAGGATGGTCACGGCAAGAAACAAAAAAAGATGTGGTTATTTTTGGCTATCCTTCCTATTTTGTTTACGCTTTCCATTTTAGCTTTCTTTTCAGGTAATTACAGCCCTTTAAATGTATTCATATTTTCAGTCAAATACTACAATCCTTTCAGTAGTTAGACCACGAAGAAATTATTAATTTTGGAGGTGGCTGAAAAATTAAATTATATTTTGTTGAGTGTTTGAATTATTAGAGAAAGGGCTAACCATTTTAACACCAGTTCTCTCTAATATATTTGTTGGTTTCAGTGTAAAAAGTAGTTAACATTAAAAAAAAAGTTTTAGAGGTGTTGTTTTAACATCTAGGTGGGCTGAAAGTAGTTGAATTGTAGAGGAAAATAAAGAACTTTTATTTTGGCACAGCCTCAAACTACTAGAAGGATTGCAGTTATGAGAGATTTTATTATTCGCCGGTGTCAGCAAACACTGAAAGAATTATTAAATATTAGAGACCATATTCCTTTCAGTTATGTTCACCTCCAATTTTGTATTTATTTTTAATCGTAAATCTGGTTTGTATTTTGTTTCTAGAACTTTGCTTATTTGTCATATGTATACGTTTTTGTCAGTACTTAACTCACTTGTCATGTTTTTGTTGTCTGTGTTTATTCATTTATTATTAGATGAAATCTAAATACAGGTCTTTCTCACCTATCTCAAACAACCATATTTCAACTGGGACAGTTGATTTCAGAAATGCCTAGTCGCTAAGTGTAGGTTTTTTTTTTTATGTTGTCTCTCACTTGTCAAATTGCAAAAAAAAAAAAAAAATACACAGCTTTCTGTAAATGAATACTTAGAGGCATTCAAATGTAACGTGAAATTGAAATATTGAAATTGAAGTATTGAAATAAATACAGTTTGAATAGAGAAGCCACTCCTTGAGACACATACTTTTAATTTTCATACTTTTAATTGTAAATTGAAAATTTCAAATCTAAGTTTTTGCTTCGAAAGGCAGCTGGGTAAGACAATCAGTTGAAATGCATCAGCATTACGGATGCTGATATCACCCCCCACCATATGTGTGAAGCTAATTTATTTTGAAACCTGAGAAAGGAGTCGTAGTCTGATCAGCGTAAATTCTTATGTTTGTTATTTTACGTTCTTCATACTGCAATGCCACATCAACCAAGACAGGATCTGCAACAGAATGGAATCCTATTATCAGTGGGGTAAACATTAGAAAATAGGGATTATCCATTTCCTAGCTGCCCCCAAAGTACTATTTTTGTTTTTGCCTTGGGAATACTAAAGTTCATATAGGATTCCTGATTATAGCAGCATGTTGTCCGACCTGTACATGTACATAGGGATGGAACGTTAACTTCCAGTTTTTGGAAAACTGCTAAAAGTCGGTTGCACATTTTTTGGCCAACTTAAATTCAAAAATTGTCATAGTAATACACTTCACTGGTACACAAAATTTAAAAAATAATATTTTGAGGGGTAGGTTTTATGCTGTAAGATGACTGAAAACAGAAAATTTGTTTCTGCCCTAGTCTAGTTAAATTGGAATAGTAAAATGTGTATTGTCCATTGTTTAGTGGCAATGAATATAAAAATAAAATTTAATAACAAATTTTTCAAATTACTGATTTGTGCAGTTTGTGACCCTGTCTCAGCTGTTGTTTTTGTCACAGAGGGCAGTGTTCTCCCCAGCTTGAAATTGTAGCGTGGTCTCTAATTTGCAACATTAAAATGAACATAAGTAACATATCTGTTTTTTCTGATATTCTTGAAAGTTTAAACATGGCTTTACTGATCACTATGCATTAAATGCCCTGGTGAGCACACTTTTAGTAGAAAAATATCATGCACGACATGCACCTATACATGTGTCAATTAATTGTAATCAACACAACTGAACAATGAACTTTGATTGTTATTTAATTTGCTGTGTAATATAGCAATTGTGATTCCGTGCCAATATTGGAATTACCATCTTTGTATTTTGAATGTCAATAAGAATAAATGCCATTTTTCTTACACAAGATTCTTGTTCACACAATGAGCAGAGCTTATAGATGATTGTTCGTTGTCCACTGACTATAGCATTTTCAACTTGTTCTTAAAAACCACCAGCTCAATTGCTTTGATACTTGGTATGTAGGTACCTTTGATGGTCATCTGTCTGATTTGTTCATTTCATGATGATATCATCAATTATTTTTAGTCCCCGTTTGGTCGTTGTCTGAAAACGGGGACTTATGGTTTGCCCTGTGTGCGTCCGTTTGTCCGTGCGTCCGTGATCACCTGTATCTCGAACATGCATGGACCGATTTAGTTCAAACTTCACTCATACATCACACATTATATGGACATATGCACATGCATTTTTTTCATGATCCGATTAATGATAGCCGAATAGCGGCCATTTTAAGGCCGAAAATGCATCAAAATCGCACATTTTCATCATTCCGGACCCGGATCTTAGTTATGCATGGACGGATTTTGTTCAAATTTGGTACATACATTAAACATAATAGAACCTTGATGCACGTTATTTTTTTTTTCGGATCACGTTCGAAATGGCCGACTGGCGGCCATTTTGTTTTAAAGAATTCAGTTCTGGATTCGTATCCGAGACATGTCTGGATTGATCAAT